ACGCAAATAATACATGGGGTAAAAGCACAGTATAATTTCAGACGGTTTACATACCTATTGAACCCAATTTGAACACACTGTACGTTAGAAATTTCAGAGTTTTTATCATTGGTTTCACCTAAAAAAGCAGAATTGATTTAGGCGTGTTTAAAATGAACAATAAGTAATCATATTTTCGCTGAGGAACACGCCAAAAAAGTAGATATAGGTAGAATTTTTATTCTTTCTCAAGAAACAAAGAACGGAAATCTCTAAAGTATCCAGCCTAAGTCAAATTTGGAATAACCATTAATTATCCTGACCAATTTCAGTTGACAAGCTTCCTGCAAAGTGAGCCATTATGTCTAATTTCCTTTAAACAAGACTGAAAACTTTGATATTTCTATCTTGGTTGAGCCTTTGCGTCTGCCAAAGAAAAGTATAATCGGGATGCACTCTGGTTTATGTATTTAAAAGTATGCTGGTCAATCAGATTTCCTCCCTTTTTGTACGATAGCTAAGTCAGGCAGGCTTTTAGAAGATAATTTTTATGAAGCAACCTCCCCAAAACGCAGAAGACCGTTTTTTGTTGCTTTGCATAAGGAATAGAAATAAAAAATGAAAACAGCAGACATACCAGCGCACATTTCCTGAAGACAGGCACCCGAGTGATAATTCCAAATTCGGATAATGCCATCTTGCCCAGCAGTGAGAAGGCGTCTGCCGGCCAGGTCGAAGCTCATGCAGGTCACGGCATTATCACAGGGTCCCCCATCGAACAGGTAGATGCATCTACCAGAGTTGAAATCCCAGATTCGTATCACCTGCGAAGAGTCAAAAGCACTGTAGACGTAAGCAATAGGGTCCCTCTTCTCATTCATGGACTGAAATACGTTCCCCTCGCACAAAAGCGTTTTTTTAGGGCAACTTGAAATACGGGGTTTATCGAAGCCCGAGAAGTATGAGACAGTAGCTTGTGACAGACAGGATGAATTACATCTTCTCGCTCATTAATGAATACTTATTTAGATTTGAATGTTGAGAAACTCAAGCATAAGTAATTGTTACTGCAATGTTAACTGCAGCAGAATAAAGACGAGAGTTAGTTTCTCCGGATACCTTCTACGGCCATTACTACTGCTGAAGGTTCGCACCCAATATGCAACGAGGGCTGTACCTTGCCTTGTTTTATGAAGTTAATGTTATTTAACTGCAACCGATTTGATTGTAACTGGTCACCAGTTGACTTTCAGCACCCAAATTATGTCGTCATGGCACTTTCCAAGGGCTGAAATGAGTACCGACGAGAGAGCCTACAGTGACCGTTTCTAGCATGCCAGATGTTGCAGTTAGTAATACTCAATCTCAGATGTAGAACATTTAGGATCTAAACACAGACTTCTTGGTAATCGATTGATTTAAACTCTCTTGCATTAGTTCTGCCGTTTGTGATCAGGAATATAAGTAAAGTAGTCGCCGATTCTTAAGCCCACGGTTAATAAGCCCGCCTCTTATTAAGCCCAATTTTGTCTGGGCCCGAGGTGGGCTTAATAACCGGCGACTACTGTAATGGTGGGCAATGTTCTTCATCACTCGTTCATTTATAAAACACAGCTACTTAATTATGTAAAGTAGTAGAGCACAACGGTAGATTAACAATTGCACAGAGCATTGAATGGATGAAATGGGAACAGTGTGCCGGCAATTGTGCCAGTCAAATTTCCAGTCGCACGTATTTAGAGAAAAGAACACACGAAGCAATCCTAAATAGTACGATTTAATCCAGAACTTGTTCCAGTTTCAATCCCGAATGCGCTTTATTGAAAGCGCCCGTATGTTTGCACATGAGTTGATGAATTTCCGGCACACGCTAATCAAATGACTTTATTTCCGTAATTCATGCCCAGTAGACGTTTGCTTCGCAATACTAGAAGAACCGTTAACAAAACTTAATAAGCTTCATCAGAGAGTTGAGAGGGGGTTTAGTATTTATTAATTAATGCAGCTGACTGGCTTGACTGTGAGTAATGCTAGACAGAAAAGCCTCAGGAGTGGGCCATGACATTGAATTTCTATGGTTACAGTCTTGGGCAACAGTAGCTTATGTAGGCCTACTCATTAATCCCTACTACCTGCATATTTTCCTACGAAAACGGTGGTTATAGGGTTTTAGGGGAATTAGAACACGCAGTGGAAGATACTTTAACAGATACTAAATGCAGTTTTATTTTACTGTTTTTAGAAGTGTTGTTGATTTATATCTGTAGATTTTCC